TTTATAATAATATCCTCAATAAAAATGCACTTTAAATGCGTCAAAGAAAAAACAATCCAGCTAACAAATGCCAATTTAGTTATGGCAACAACAACAAAGACCTCCGAGTGCTAAAGAAAGAAAGAAGACCTTGATGTAGAAGGCTCCAATTCCCCTTCATACATTTCTAGTAGGAAACCCCCAACAGGGCTCCCAACAGCACAGGAAGCAGGAAGCAATGTCTAAAAATATTGAGGGAAAAGAAAGGCGGGGAGAGGAGGGAAGGAAGAAGGGCTGTCTTTTGCCAATTTTTCCGTTTTAATCAGTAAAATATTTGGGGACTATTAAATTTCAAGAATGAAAATCCATCTTATTTAGAATTCTTTCAAGAAATTATTTACTTAAAATGTTTTTCCAGCTTACTTTTCCAGTTTACTTACCTCTGCTTCTACATCCACATTTTGCTTCAAAAGTAATTTCAAAATATCAACATGCCCATTTTGACTAGCAGCTTGCATAGCCGTGTGGCCAGCACATTGCCCATTCACCTAAAAAGAAAAGTCACAAATCAAAGCCAATATATTAAATGTACTGTATCATTCTATGAGACCAATTTGACATTCTAAGTACCATACAGATCATCAAAATTGTTTAAAAGAAATGAAAGCATTGTGTGTATAGGTACAAGTGTGTGCATATGGAGAACAAAGGTCAAGATGTCTTCCTCAGTTTCTCTCCACCTCAGGGTCTTTCACAGCTTTGCCTAGAAAGGCTAGCCCATAAGCCCCAGGAATGCTCCTTTCCCTGCCTCCCTAGCACTGTTATAGGTGTGCCACCATAACCGCTTTTCTTTTTTTCAACTGAGTGTCAAGGATCAAAATCAGTGCTACCAGCACTTTACTGACTCAGCCATCTCCCTAGCCCCTCTATCTCTTCCCATTTTGAAGTGTTTTACTTAGAGTAAATAAGTAAATTGAAAATAAAAAGTAAACTATAAAATATAGCCTGAATATAAATTATAAGAACAAATAAAACATAGCACTTGATTTGTCTGCATTAGTCATAATCAGTCTTTGAAAGGAGGATAGCAGGAATTACCAATACAACACAAATAATAAACTTATAATCTAAGTTTCCTGACATGTATCTCCTACATGAACCCAAATGATTATGCTTAATAAGAAATTCTGATGCCAGGTGTGGTGGCACATGCCTTTAATCCCAGCACTTGGGAGGCAGAGGCAGGCAGATCTCTGTGTGTTCAAGGCCAGCCTGGTCTACAGTGAGTTCCAGGTCAGCTGGGGCTAGGGAGACACTGTCTCAAAAAATAAAAATAAAAAATTGATAGAATAAAAAATTTTTTGTTTTATATTTTTGTACAAATGACATTGGTAAAACTAGATTTAAAACTCATGTAAATGGATTAAATTCTCCAATTAATAGAGAATTGGCCAAAAGAAGACAAGACACAACCTATTGCTGCTTACCAGTATGGGAATGACATTAATGGACATAATGTAGACTAATGACCTTTAATTAACCACAGAAAAACCATGTGTGCTTGTGTCTTGTGACCTTGGTACCGGATCTCATTTTCTAGGCAAATCTCGATTTGAGACTCTACCCAAAAAGGTAATAAATGAATCTGGCTATACTTGAGAATTAACACATCAAAGTGCTGAAAAGGTGGTACCCAATCTCCATTGGACACAGTGGAGACAGGGAAGGAGAGTGACCTTGGATGAATGAGATATTCTAGAACTAGGGATGAAAAGGCCCAAGGATCTGCGGAACACTGCAGTGGAGCCAAGTTTGTACTTTCCCAACTGAAGCTGGAGAAAGCATTTTAAATAAAATCATGGGTGGGAGTCCAGTGTTAAGTTAGTATAAGCCTTGAGTTCCAGCACTCAGCAGGCAGGGCAGTGAGGTTAAGGCCAGCCTGGTCTACGTAGTGAGTTCGAGGCCAGCTGGAGCTACAGGGAGACCCTGTCTCAAAAAAAGATGACCAAAAAAAAAAAAAAAAAAATCATGAGTGGGGCCGGACTCAGGAGACAGTTCCAGGAATGGAATGCCAGCAAGACAGTTCCACAACGCAGTTCCAGGAGATCTCTAGGGGAACAAGTGTCCTCCAAGTTTGAGCCTACTCTTCAAAACTAAATTTAAGTGTTAGGCTTTCATTTGTTCTGGTAATTGTAATGTTGGTGAAGCAATGTTGCAACATGAAACCAATTTCACCTCTAAGGCTCCACACCCAGACTGACGGTTTGAGATGACACACAATGGGAACCAGAGGAAAGCTGCAGTAGCTTACTCAGTGCACCACATACAATAGACTTTAGGTCTAAAGCAGCCAAAAGAGACAAGTGTTTGAGGCAAGCCTGGGCTACATGTCAAGGCTCAAGAACAGCTGAAATAAGCCCAGTTAAGAAACCAAGGGCTGGAGCTGCACCTAAATATTCAAAGCATATATTAAATAAATCTAAAGGGAGAGAAAAGACTTCAACACACTACTAGCAAGGAATTTAACACTTTACTTTCAGCAACAGACAGAAAGATCACCCAGATAAAAATCAATGAAGAAAAAGCAGATAAATCACACCTTGGACTAAACAGACCTTAAAAAAATCCACTGAGGACTCCATCCAACTGCAGAACATTCATGTTTCTTAAAGGCACATGGAACATTCTCTCAGATTATATGATAGGCCACAACACAAGTTTCACCAAAATTTTAAAAACTGAAATAATAACTTTTCCTGACCACAATGCAATAACACTAGAAATTAATAGCAAAAGTAGGCTTAGAAAATACACAATGTGCATGGAAATTAACAACACTTGAATGATCAAGGAGGAAATCAAACAAATTTTGAAACTCTTGAAACAAAATGTAACACAATACAACCAAAAAATCTATAGACTAGGACAAAAGCAGTGCTACAGGAAAGCTAATAATGAAATCCTACACCAAGAAAGTAGATGCTGGGGATGTTAAGTCAGTAGTAGGGCACTTGCCTACACCTGTAAGGCTCCAGATTCAATCTCCAGCACCATGAAAATAAAACAAAATGTAGCAAAGCCAGACATGGTGGTACAAGTTTGTAATACCAGCACCTGTCAGGAAGTAGAGGCAGGAGGACCACAAGTTTCAGGCCAATCTGGACAGCATAGAGAATTCAGAGCCAGCCAGAGCTACATAACAAGGTCCTATCTCAAAAAGCCAAAAGCTGCCCACCATAACTAAATGGCAAGACCCTACTGCTAAAAGACACCACTTACCTTAGTGCAGGACATAGAGAAATCAACCTCAAACCGACTGGAAAACTCTCTGCCTGCTGGCTAGCTTACACAGTAACAGAAGGTGCTATACAGGCTGTTAAAGGAGAAAAGACATCAGTGGTCTTACCTAATGCTACCCTGCATACTACAAAACCTGGGATGTAGCTCAGTGGTGGAGTACTTGCCTAGCATGTATGTGCAAGGCCTTGGGTTCAATCCCGAAGGTACTGGAATATCTAAAATAAATTTTTGTGACATCTCATCACCGATTCAGAATTTATTGAACTGGGTTGTTACAACTGAGATAGCTTGAATACGGTTTAAAATATAACAGGAGCTTATAGAATAAGGCATTAACACCTTAAAATTATAGAGTAGATCTGCAAACTAGCATACTTAAAAAGAGACACACAAAGGTTAAAAAAAAAAAAAGTCCTACCACACAGTGAGATGATTCAAACTACTAGTCTAAGCACAAGCTCTGGGCTAGCACTGAACACAGTACTGTACCAAAGGCAAAGTACAAACCAGAACCAAAATGGTACACTTAAAACATGGCTTGCCAGATTTTTATTTATTTCACTAATTTTGGTCTAATGAAAATCTGAGTATGATTAAAAGTATAGGGCCTGTAGAGGTTTGAATGAAAATGTCCCCAATAGAGTCAGGTTATCTGAACATTTGGCCTCCAGTTAGTAGGACAGTTTGAGGAGGTTTAGGAAGTATAGCCTTGCTAGAGGAAGTATGTCACTGGGGGTGGGCTTTGACAGTCATGGCCTTACCCTACTTCTAGATCTCTCAGCATGTGGCTCTTGCTGCCTACCATGATTGACTCTTACCCCTCTGGAACTATAAGCCAAAATAAACCCTTTCTTCAGTAATTTGCCTTTGGTCATGGTGTTCTATCACAACCATAGAAAAGTCAGTAATGCAAGGCCCAATTTAATTCTAGAAAAAAATATTTTAAAAATGTATATGAAGCCAGGCATGGTGGCACACACAGAGGCAGGTGGATCTCTGTGAGTTCAAGGCCTACTTAACAAGTTCCAGGTCAGCTGGGACTATAGGGAGACCCTGCCTCAAAAAAAAAAAAGTGTATGAATATAAAAGTACAGCACAACGTGAGGGAGTTATAAAACACATAACCTCTGATTCATCTCCATTACAAATTGTGAAAGACAATTTTTCACGAGAGTACAAAACTTCAAGTAAATGTTTTAAGAGAGGCAAATATTTGCTTATAAAATTTAACAAAAATAAGGGCCAGATGTGGTGGTGCATGCCTTTTGTCCCAGCACTTGAGAGGCAGAGGCAAGTAGAGTAGATTGAGGCCAGCCTGGTCTACATAGTGAGTTCCAGGCCAGCTGGGGCTACAGGGAGACCCTGTCTCAAAAATACGCCCCTTCCAAAAAAAGGAAATAAAAAATTTAATTTACCAAAATATAGTTTTTAATTATTAAAATATTTATTTTATGTGTATGAGTGTTTGTTTGTATGCATGTATATATGTGCACCACATGTGTACCCATTGCCTACAGAAACCAGAAGAGGGTGTAAGCCACCATGTGAGTGCTGGAAACCAAACCTGGGTCCCCTGCCAGGATAGCAAGTGCTCTTAACCCCTGAGGCATCTCTCTAGCCCCAGACAAAATATATTTAAGAGATGTCAAATAATGAAATTTATATGGAACAAACATTTTCTAGATCTCCTGAAAAAAGACTAACTACTTAAAAATCTGATTTTTTTCAGACATAAAATAATGAAGATACATAAAATGCTGACTACAACAAGAAGGTCATAGTGTTAAATAAGAAAATGTGATTTGTTTTTATGTGCACTGAAGAATAATGTCTGGTGCCTGTCTAGAATACCTCAGAGAACAAGAAAGCAAAGATGAAACATGTAGCAAAAACAGTACTTGTCAAATGTGAATAAGGTCTTTAAACTACTGCATTTTTGCATATGCTTCAGTTATTTTTTAAATGCTCACATCCACATCTGGTCTTTTCAGCAAATCTTCCACTTTAGCCACGTCCCCATTGGCAGCAGCCTTTACCAGCTCTTCATTGAGGTCACCAGATTCTTGGGTTTCAAATAATTTCTTCAGAAGTTGTGAGAGTCTTTCTGCAAAGCATCAAATAAAGCTGCTAACACAGGAGCAGGTATTACCCATATTACTCTACCCTTTTCCTGTTTTCTTCTTTCCAACACTGTGCTACCCACCCACGCACATGGTAAGTACTATAACAGCAAGTTACATTAAATTCAAGCCTATAGGTATTCCGTTTCTTCAATTCATGTATTTCAGGTTGTAATTGCAGAAAATAAAGTAGAATTACATACTAAAAATAATTTAAGATTTAGAAGTCATACCAAAGATACCATACATGAGCATATGAATCCATAAGCATACTTACATGGTGGTACCATAATGATACAAATGTCCTTTTAGGCTTTAAGCACACCATAGCAATTCTCAGAGCTCTATACTACAGATCTTAGAATAATTCAACAGATCAATGGTTATAATTCAAAAATAATGTAATTTTTCTAGTATTTGGGGATACATTTTAGGAGCAAATCAATTTTCAGCTAAAAATGAACCTAAGTTATAATAAATATTAAGTGCCACTTGATATTTTTTGGCAAATACAAAATACACTGATTACATTCCTTTCCTAAGGTTTTTCTCTAAACAGTTCGGTTGATATAGAAGGTATTAAGTTTTATTCTTTAACTCTTGGAGCAATTACTGGAAAGCAGAGAAATCATAACTGGGGCAGGGGGATGAATCCCAAGGTGTGCAATTCTACAATTCTTTAAAAGTAGTATTAATAGCCAGGCGTGGTGGCGCACGCCTTTAATCCCAGCACTCAGGAGGCAGAGGCAAGCAGATCTCTGTGAGTTCGAGGCCAGCCTGATCTCCATAGCGAATCCTGGCCAGCTGGGGCTACAGGGACACCCCATCTCAAAAAAGACCCCCACCCAAAAAAAAAATAAAAAGTAGGTATTAATTTTTCTTTACTTTTTTACTTTGCTGTGATCAACCTATCATGATGTAATCTAACCTCAAGATAAAAATCATAAAGATAAAAATCATCAGTATCTGATTTAAATTAAGTACACTAGCAAATTACAACAAAAGAGACAAAAGCAGAGAAAATAGAAAGCAGTACAAAAATAAACCTAACATTTTCCTTATTTTGTTCTCTTGACTTAGGGTCATGTTGTCCAAGCTAGTCTCAAACTCACTGGGTGGTTGAGACTATACTTAAACTCTTGATCCTCCTGCCTTCACTCCCCAAGTGCCAGGATTATATGCATGCACCAGCATACCTGCTAACCTAATATTTTTCTTTTGTATATTCTGTTTACAGTTATGGTTCTATCTCCTACTGGATAACAGCAATGGATACACAGTAACTTTCGAGTATGTTGTAGAACAAACTAGACTGTGCATCCAAAGCTGGAGCACAGGAAGGAAAGACATCAGGAACAAGTTCAGCCAAGGACTCAGCAAGACACATTTTAACAATGGTTTCTGGCCTACTATGGCACGCATAATTCATTAAAGGTTAAGAGAAAAAATATGGCTGATATGCAAAAACACACAGGAAGAAAAACATCTGTTAGCAATAATGTTGTGTGGGGGTGTAAAGTTAAGAAAGTGATGGAGTTTTTTTTGGCGGGGAGAGGGGAAACAAAAGTTGATTAGAAAATAGAACTGATTTTAGGTATCTCAGATTTGATGTAGAGACACTTCTGATATACCAAGAAAAAGTGCATATTTATGGAACTTTTCCAAGGAGTACCTCAGCCAGAATAGAGGTTACTCAGCACATCATAAAAAGAGGAGGGGAAGGGAGAATGGAAAGGGAAAGAGGTAAGAGGAGAAGAGGGAAGGGGGAAGGGGAGGTATAAAAGAAAAGAAAAACTTTCAGTGAAAGCTTACAAAGTAGACAACATTCAAGTGAGCCTATGTAATCTGGGAGAAAGCCAAGTGTACATACAAGATTATCTGCGTAACAGAACTGGGCCATTAGCAAAGGCTCTAACATAAACTGTATTACTGTCAAAGAAACAAGACAAGCCGGACATGGTGGCGCACGCCTTTAATACTAGCACTCGGGAGGCAGAGGCCAGCCTGGTCTACATAGTGAGTTCCAGGACAGCTGGGGCTACAGGGAGACCCTGTCTCAAAAAGACCCCCCACCAAAAAAAAAAGAAAGAAAGAAAAAAAAAAGAAACAAGACAAAACATACCACCAGATGCATTGCTAATGGCTGATCCTGCAGATGCCACCTTGGAAACTGCTGCAGGATTGTATGTCCAAGATGTTCCACAAACTTCCACTTTTAAATCACTGTCTGAATAAATCTGTTGTACTCGGCCAACTTTACCTAAAGTCTTAAAAAAAAAAAAAAAAAGATTTGTGCTCCCAAACTTAAATTATATAATCATAAAATAATCACCACCTCTTACATTTTAAAGTGTTAATTTTACTTGTTCCTAATTTAAAAACTTTTAAAGATAACCATATTCAAATGGGTTATTGGTTACAAACAATTATATCTTAAGAATATTTTAATAAAATTTACTATATTTCTGTAAGAATATAAAAGATAAATCATGATAAAATCTATCTTGTTCATAAAAGCCCACAAAAATGTTGATAATCATGATAAAGTCTATCTTGTTCATAAAAGCCCATAAAAATGTTGACATTCAATCATCCTTTTTTAACCTGTAAGATACAGAGAACCTCCAACTCCAGTAGTCCAAACTCAATCATCAATATAACACAACAGAGAAAATCTTCTTCCTAAAAAGACATTGCTCAATCCCAAAGGGCTAAAGCTCATATGTATGTTAAATATCTTTTCGTAAAACAGAACTCCACAACAAAAATGAGTGTAAAAATGACATGCATATTAAATATATGAAATAAGGTGGTCAGCCAGGCCCAGACCACAATCAACAGCAACATGAGTGCTCACCAGAGCTTTATACACACTGACTCACCAAATACACAATCCTGTAAACAAGTATGTTTATTAACCCCATTTCAAACTCAGGTCCAAAACCCATTCTTTTTTTAAAATTTTAATTTTGTGTATGAGTGTACTGCCTGCATGTATGTAAATGCACCAGTGTCCTGCAATACCGGTGGAGGACAGAAGAGGGTGTCAAATTTCCAGGAACTGAAGTTACAGACAGTTGTTGGCTGCCATGTGGGTGCTGGGAACCAAACCTGGGTCCTCTGCAAGAGTAGCCAGTGCTCTTAATCTGAGTCAACTCTCCACCACCACCACCATCCTTTTTTTTTTTTTTTTTTTTTTTTTGCGACAGGGTCTCCCTATAACCACAGCTGGCCTGGAACTCACTAGGTAGACCAGGTTGGCCTTGAGGGTCACCTGCCCGTACACCACCATGCCCAATCAAAACCCATTCTCTTAAGCACAATAGAATACCAAATCACAACACTGGACAAATAATGAGAATATTGTAATATTTGACTATTTCTTAACAGAGCTGAGATTAACCTTGTATGTTTACTCCTTTGACTTTTCCAACTTCTTGAAGCTATTCTCTCTACTTCTGGATGATAGACTTGTCTCTCTGCTCGTTCCTTCCCTTTTTCATATATATAGATATACATGTATATACACATATTCAATAAATAGTACACAAATATATTTTTAGTATTTTCTCTCCCCCTTTGATTTTTTTTTTTAGAAAGCTGAAAACAAAAGTAATAGTATACTGCATTCTCATGTACTGACCAACCAGTTAAAAATAATTAGCAGCTCAGTCAATCTTACTTCACCTATTCCCTCACCACTCTACATTCCTGTATTGTATCAATACATACATTCAACAGAAAAATGGCTAACAGATCTATAATATTATTTCCTGACCACCCAAAACTATCAATAATTCTGCATCATAAAGTATAAAAAAGTATTCAAATTTCTAATTGTCACATAAATGGTTAAGTTTGATGTGAAACCAGATCCAAAGTCCATACACATTCTTCTTTGTAAATAATCTGCTGAAGAAAAAGGCTAATCTGACCAATGAGGTTTCTTATGATCTGAATTTTGCTGACTGGTATAGCTCATCAAGTCTGTCTGTCCTCTGCATTTGCTCAGTGGGAACTCTTTGAGTTGGCTGTTCATACTTTTAACACAACCCTACAAAAATCTCTGATAACTTCTTTGCTGTCTAGAATGAGGCTCATCTGCCCTTCACTTTTCTCTGAAGAGCCTTGGTTCTTTACTAAGGTCAAGGCTACTTTAAGACCATAAATACTAACCTGGATACTGCAGTCAGTTACTGTTACTATCATGTTTATTACCATGTCCTAGGGACAGAAGTCAAAAACAGAGATTTCTTTTGTTAGGTTTGTATTTTTATTAATTTTTAAGATTTAAAATTTTTTATGTGTATGTCTATGCCTGAGTGTATATATGTTGACCATGTACATACAGGTCCCTACGGAGGCCAGAAGACGATGCCTATCTCCTCGAACTGGAGTTAGAGGCAACTGTGAACTCCTTAAAGCGGGTGATGGGAACCAAATCACTGAGCCATCTCTCCAGCCAAACTGCTAATCTCCTTGCTTTTCAAGATAAACTAAATCATGAGTCACATACACCCTTCTAAATTCAAATTAAAAATACAATACAGAGTTTTTACTTTGCCTCTTTTTAAAAAGTCTCTATCTTCAGGTTGGAAAATAAACACACCTGGTTTATGCAGTACTAGGGATCAAATCCAAAGCTTTGTACATACTAGACAAACACTACCAACTGAGCTACATTACATCTCTAGTCAGCAAGTGTCCTAATGGCTATGTTTAACTAATACCTTATATAAATACATGCATGTGTTTATATTTATCTCCTTACTCCTTTAAAAAAAAATACATGTGGGGACTATAGACATGGCTCAGCAGTTAAGAGCACTGCCCGCTCTTGCAGAGGACCTGGGTTCAATTCCCAGAACCAACACAGCAGCCAACAACTGTATCCTTAACTCCATTTCCAGAGAATCTGACAACCTCTTCTGGCCTCCATGGGTATTGTACCACATGGGTGCACTTACGTATGTGCAGGGAAAACATTCATGTGCATAAATTTTTTTTAATGTTTTAAAAGACACATATACATAAATTTAAGTATTCATATAATATATTCCCATGGGAATATATTATGTATTGAAGTTAGCCATACATATGATCTCACCCTTATCTTTTTCAGTACTTTGATTTAAAACAGTATTTCATGCTAGTTTACACAGCTTACTCATTCCCATTCCACTTTGTGACAGTTACACTTGACACTGTTCTGGCAAATAATCACTGTATGCACACTGTATGCACTACCTTTTCTTTATAATCATTTAATTAGCCAAACAAATAACTACTTATTTCATGATTGGCTGCCATCTCTAGCCACTTTGGTGTCTGAATCTCATTCTTTAGTAATTATGTAGAAAAGGCTAATGGGGACAAGATTCTCTCTGAATACTTATATACTCTTAGCAGTTTACCACCTTTATATCTGAATGTTAGCATGGCTAAAAAATACAGAATCTTCAGACACATTTTCTTTTCTTAATTATCTTAATTTTCATTGTTTTCTGGTATGAAACATTGAGTTCATATTTTTTTTTCTTAACAGCAAAATTATTTTCTTCCTTTAAGATTAATGATTTCATCTTTTTACCTATAGCTCCAAGATTTTTTTCTGTCCTTGAAGACTCAATCATTCACTAGAATCTGTCTTTTGGTCTTGTTCTGGGTCAGTTTTCCCAGGTGTGCAATTTATCTTCCCTTTAATAAATAGTCTCGAAATTTCTTATCAATTTCAAGAACATCTATCTAGAATTTCAAATTTAATGACTAGAGATATACCTCAGTGGTCCAGTGCTTGGCATGCTAGAGAACTTGGTTCTTAAAAAAAAAAAAAAAAAGCACACTGGGCATGGTGGTGCACGCCTTTTATCCCAGCACTTGGGAAGCAGAGGCAGATGGTGCTCTGTGAGTTCAAGGCAGCCTGTTCTACACAGCGAGTTCCAGGCCAGCTGGGACTACAGGGAGACCCTGTCTCAAAAAGACAAAAAAGAAAAAAAAAAAAAAGCATACTTGTTTCATTCAGTTTTTCCTTTCTACATATTTTACATATACATATTAGATGTTCCATATTTGTCACTGTCTATGAAATACTTACCTTTTATATTTAAATTCTTCCTGTTTTTCATCCTCTATTGCTGCTAAGACAGCATCTGTTGCATTTATTTGTTGTGTGTTCTTTCTAGCTTAATTGTCACTTTAAAAAAAATGTATTTGGGGTAGAGAGATGGTTCAGCAATTAAGAGCATTGGTTTTCTTTTGTAGAGGACCTGGGTTCAGTTCCCAACACCCACATGGTAGCTACAGCCCTTTGTAACCCCAATTCCAAAAGATCCCATACCCTTTTCTGACTTCCTCAGGCACTGCACGCACATGGTACACTTAAATACATGTAGCAAAACACTCTCATGCATAAAATAGAAATAAAATAAAAAAGCATTAATGCTTTCCTGATTTGGGGGCCCATGTATCTAAAATATGACGTTATGTAGAACAGCTCACATGCCTGTCTTCTGAGGGTGGTTTTGCTCCCACGAACCATAGTTTAATTTTTAATATTTTCATTCAATACATATTTCACCAACTGTTCAACAATAATTTTACTTTGCCCTTTCTTCTTTTCATTATCTGTCCTTCTGTCCCTTCCTGTATGTACTATCTTGTTTGTTTCTGTTCCTGGTCCTGTGTCCCATCCCTCTCTACCTTGTTAAGTTCTCATGTTTAGTCCTCCATTTTCCCCTCTCCTCTCTGTTCTCTATTTCCAGCTCCTGTCCTGTCCTTCCTCTCCACTCCTCTTAGAAACGCATCTCCCTACCCCGTGTCCTCTAGTCCTCCTTTCTTGGATGGCACTTCCATTTCTTCCTATCTAACTTCAGTTCCTGCCCTAACTAGCCTTCTCTCAATCTACTGGATCTCTCCTTCTTGTCCTTACTGTTGTCCTCTGTCAGTCCATCTATCCCTTCCTACTGTATTCCCTCAGCAGACGCTTTAGAACATAAAATACACCTATTAGACTTTAGGGATGTAATTGTGAACAAACCAGGAAAAATAAATCCCTTGAGTACCTTATTGGACCTTAAAATATGAATAAGTAGATGAATCACTGCTGCTGTCTAAACAGCAGTAGAGTGAATTAACAGGGCATCTGATAGACCTGAGAGCAGGAGGATATTTGCTCTATGAACTATCAGATTTTCACTGGCATCAGTGCTATCACCCTGCTGCAGACTGAATATACATGCTCCTCTGCATGCTGAGTATCTGGAAAGCCTTACCTACTGGCCACACCCTCAACCAACAGTGCTATCAGAAATACTATCCCCTTCTGGATCTTCCCAGGTTAATTTGACTGGAACAAACTTCGGACAAGTATGCCTTGCTCCAAAAGAGAATATAATTTTAGGATGGCATATGCCATTTTTGTTTCTAAAATTAATTTACTTTTAAAAACTCTTTAAGCATAGTAAAATATCTTGTCCCAAACTGATTTATATACACTTACTGGAAGCATTGCTTCAGCCCATTCACCATGTCCTCTTTGAAGAAGTTTAATTCTTTCCAGATCATAACAAACTTGCACAAGATCACCCACTTGAAACTGTGAGGTGCCCCCTTCTGCACCCTGTGCAGCATCCCCACTTCGGACGATGTTTGCTTTAGTGAGGACAGCAGGATTGAAGGTCCACCTACAAAAGCAGAGCCAAAACTCAAAACAGGTCAATTTACTTAAAGTTAATACATCTGGGTTTTTGTTTGTTTTGTTTTTTGTCTTTTGGAGACAGGGTCTCTCAGTAGCCCCAGCTGGCCTGGAACTCACTTTGTAGACCAGGCTGGCCTCTACCTCCTGAGTTCTGGGATTAAAGACGTGCGCCACCACATCCAGCAAATTTAATACATCTTTAAACACTATAAAGAGAAACACCTTGTAGCACTGTAAAATAATAAAGATATTCTTTACAATCATATTCTGAATGATTTTATTTATTTATCTTTTATTTATTTATTTTGGTCTTGAGACAGGGTCTCCCTTGTAGCCACAGCTACTTGCTATGTAGACCAGGCTGGCCTTAATCTGCCTCCTGGGATTAAAGGTGTGCACCACCACACCTGGCTAATTTTGTTTTTATCAAACAAGTCTGGGGAGTCATCTGAGATCTTACCACTCTAATACATGCTTAAAATTTTTGTTATTTATTTATTTATTCATTCATTCATTCATTTATTTTTTTGGACAGGGTCTCTTTAGTCCTAGCCCTCCTGCCCTGAAGTCACTATAGGGCCTGATCTCACAGAGATCCCCCTGTCTCTTATCTCCCAAGAGCTGGGATTAAAGGCATGCACCATCATGCCCAGTGTTAAATATTTTATTTTTTTATGGGAGAAACTGTTAGCTTTAAATAGCGATTGTCTCTAAGGCTGAAACTACTAACATTTTAATACACTTTTGTCTAGATTTATTATCTTCTATGATAACAGTAATACAATGACCATTGTCAAAAATTATAAGCATTTCAGAAACAAATGTGAAATGAAAGTTCCATATTACACGAACACACTTGGGTTATTATGACGACCTCACTAAGAACCACTAATAGTATTTGTAAATGGAGTTGAAGACATGACTCAGTGGTTGAGAGCATGTACTAATCTTGCAGAGGACCCAAATTTGGTTCCAGCACCCACATTGGGCAGCTCAAAACTCCCTGTAACTAGGGGATTTGACACTGTCTTCTGGACTCCACAGGAGTCACCTGCACTCACATATGCATGAACCTACACACATGCACACATTCATAATTTAAAGTAAATTTTAAAAAAAGTACTGATAGCTAATATTGATTGTCAACTTGATGACACCTGTGAGGATTATCTTGATTAAGTTAACGGAGGTGAGAAGATCAGCCCTAAAGGTGGGTCAAACCATTCCTTGGGCTCAGAACCTGGACAGTATAAAAAGGAGTCAGCTATCTGGGCACTAACATTCTTCACTCGCTGCTTCCTGATTGTTGACGCAATGTGACAAGATGCTTCAGGCTCCTGCTCCTTTGACTATACCCTGGAACTATGAGCCAAAATAAATCCTTTCTCCCTTAAGTTTCTTTTGTCAAAATATTTTATCACACCAATAGGAACAGTAACTAATGCAACACTCAACTGTGTATCCCTACAGATCCTCTATCATGCTGAGAGATATTTATAAGCTAGAAGGTTGTCTTTTGAATAAATGGGATCACTATGTGCATATACATTATTGGTGACTTTTTTCCTCAGGTAATGTATTTGGGAAGATTTTTCAATGTCAGCTATAATATTAATTTAGCTTAACAACTATAGAGCATGTCATACATTATATGAATATACTAAGTTATTCTCCTACAGATTATCATTTAAATAATTTCCAAATGTTTACTAGTATATACAATACATAAAGAACGTACCTCTATGTATATCTTTGTGCACACAGGGTCAGTATTTCATCAGATTTACTTAAAACAACTTCCTGCTCAAAGTATGTATTTACAAATCTGTCAAACTGCTCTACATGAACCATTTCCCCCATATTATCAATCTCATAGATAAAATACAATCTACTTTTAACTCGCCATGCATAAATATTTTCCATCATTATAATCACTGTTTCAAAACAACTCTGCGCTGGGACTGGAGCTCAATGATGAGAGTGTATGCCTACCATGCACAAAGTCCTGGGTTCAATTCCCAGCAAGACACACAAATTAAATTAGGATTTGGATTTCTTCTGTTTTTAGGTTCTTGGATAGAAGTCTCATATAGCCCAAGCTACCCTCAAACTCACTGAGAATGAGTTTACACTTCTGTCTTCCTGCCTCTATATTCCAAGTTCTGGGATTGTAGACCATATGCCACTTGTCTATAGTGTATGTACTGCTGGGGATCAAATCCAAGGGTTCATGCATGCTGGGTTCAGCCTGCTTTCTTATGCAACACAGGCCCACCTGCCCAGGGGTGGCACCACCCACAGTGGGCTGGTTCCTCCCACATCACTCATCAAGAAGATGCCCCTCAGATATGGCCACAGGCCAGTCCAATAGAGGAAATCCCCCAATTGAGGCTCCCTCAACCCAGGTGTGTCAAGTTGACACTAAAGCTATCCAGCACA